CTGAGATTTAAGTTTGGTTTTGATCCTTAGATGCTAATTAAGCTTAAGGAAAGCTTAATTTGCTTTAAAACAACAAGATGAAAGGGGTAGGAATAATTAAATATTATGAGTTCTTGAATAAAATTTCGAAATAAAGTTCATACTGAGAATTGGAGGTTGAATTTGACTTGTCATCGACTTAATTAAGATATACGAAGTGTTAGAATTAGATTTAGAACATGTTGGAATTTGAGCGAGATTCTTGAATTCCATGTGGAAGAATGGATTTTTAAGTTAAGAGGTATTGAATGAGTATTAATTAGTTTAAATAGGTGTATAAGAGTTAAGAATATAAAAAGATGTGAAATATGAAGAGTTGAGAGGATTATGAAGGGATTTTTGTGCTTAAAGTATCATTTCTGGGTTGTGTGCATCGATACACATTCAATGTATACCGGTGCACTCTCAAATAAATGAACATCGAATGCAATTAGTGCATCGATGCACCCCCTTAAAATATAAACATCGAATGGGATTTGTGTACCGATTCATAGCTAGTGCATTGATGCACACATTAAGGAATGCATCGATACACTGTAGAGTGCATCGATGCATACCTTCATTAAAAGATGAAAATAACCTTCTTTTAGCCTAAGGAGTGATAGTTTAGAATATATCAATTTAGTATATTGATATGTATCAAGGTATTACTATGTAGATATAGAACATAATCTGGTTCCGGAACAATCAAAGAAGTAGGATCGAGTCAAATCAAGCAAGGCTAAGGTGAGTGTCTATCCTAGATAGAATTGTATTGAAATAAGACTTGTGATAAGTCTATCTCTTATAATTGAATTTATGATTCCATATTCATGCACATGCATACCTATATATATGTATTAATGTTATAGTGATTCCATGTATAATTCATTCATGATTTAACATGATACTATATGAATGAATGCCGTCATCAGAGAATCCTTCCAGGTATGTGAAATAATAGAAATGATCATATGAAGTGACTTATGTGTTTACATGGACATTGATGAAAGAGATATGAAATGAGAAATGTATTTATAATTAAGCCCATGTTATTTAATATGAGAGCTTAGGTATAATTGGCATGCCAAGAGTCGAGGGATTATCAGTGGTCCTTCGGGATATAATGGTCCTTCGGGACATAGTGGTCCTTCGGGACAAATATTCAGTGCCCCTAGTGCGATTTTATTCGAGCTGTGGTGACAATATTGTGCACAACCTCAGTATACTAGTGTACCTTCTGTTCTCAATAATGTACATGTGCATCCAAAGATAAACTAAATGAAATTCTTATGAAACATAATTGTTTATTCATTCATATCCTACTCATATGTCATAGTGTGGTATTTACATTTGCATCACAATGTCTTAGTGGATTGACAGTAATGTATGTTCATGATATTATTGTCATATGTTTATTTTATGCCTCACTAAGTCTGTGACTTAGCGTGTAAGTTATTTTATGCCTCAGACTCATATTCGGGTCGGGTACGGGTTGGGGGTGTTACATATTTGGTGGGAACAATTAATCATGACTTGGTCATAGCACCTACTGTAACAGGATTCAATGTAGTAGCCTTTGTTGATGCAGATCGGGCTGCAAGCACTGATGATCGCAAATATGTCTCATGCTATTGTGTGTTTGTAGGTGATAATATTGTGATGTAGAACTCGAAGAAACAAAAATCAGTTTCCATATCGAATATGGAAGCTAAGTATAGAAGTGTAGCAGATGTTATTGCTGAAACAACATGGGTGAATACTCTCCTAAAGATTTGGGTGTTGCAAAGCTATAAAATTCCAATAGTTTGGTGTGATAACAACAATGTTGTTGCCTGACAGCTAATCATGTCTGTCATGCAAAGAGTAAACATGTTGAGCTTGATGTTCACTTTGTTCGTGAGAAGGTGGCATTGAAGCAAGTGTTGGTGAACTATGTGCCAGGGAGTCATCAGGTTGCTGATGGATTCACAAAGTCATTAGTTGCTGCTCGGTTTGAAGTGTTTAAAGCCAGGGTGAATGTGCATTCTTTTCTTTGGGAGAAAGAAGAAGTATGGAGAATGTTGAATGATGAAGTTGTTAGCTGATGTGTACGGTTAGTTGTATAGTTAGGGAAGCTGTTAGGAACGGTTGTTAGATGTTAGTTATTAGCTGTTGAGCAGTTATAAGGGCTGCTGAAAACTCTTGTATATAAGGAGTGTTATAGTTTATTAAGTGATATGCATTCTTGTATATTAAGTGATATGCATTCTGGTTATATTCATCAAGTACGTGGAGCGGACAGTGGCTTTGTATTTAGCGAGCTTGGACAAATTTCGTGATTCGATGCTTAAGAATCCGGATCCTGGCCCCAACTACGCTAAGCTCATGGAGGAATACGCGTACAAGAGAGAGGCAGAGCTTCCAACGAGAATTGACCTGACACCTGAGCCAGATAAAGAAACAAAGGCTTTTGATATTCCACCCAAGGAAGGCAATCTGAATGAATTGGAGGTGGTGCTCTGTGGTTTTCACTACTTCGAAACATTCAAGGGACTCATCGTGGATCTCATCTTCAGCTTCCATGAGCGCGACGAGAGCCGTGATTTCTTCAACAGGAGGACGACTGAAGATGCTCTGAGGGTAATCGAGGTTGAACTCAACTTCATGTATACGACTCTCTATACCAAGCTCAAAGTTGTCAACTCTAGGCCTGGAAAAAAAAATTCGGTTCCTAGCATTTGGGTCGACTTTGGCTACACTCGGAATCTTCCATTTCATAAAGAACAAACATGATTACTACGATGGTGTGGAAATTGGAATAACTTACACTGTGCTCCTAGGTCCCATTGCCCTGGATGTAATAGCCCTTTTCACCACCGTTTTCTCAAATCGTAGCTGACTCTATTCCCATATGTAATGGGGTGAGGGGAGGTAAGATAGTAGGTTGCCCCCAACCCCAGGTTGAGAGCAGCTTCCGTGGAAGACCTCCGACAGTCAGAATTATGAATTGTCTACCATGGGATTCATATCGTACTTTTACTGAAATAGAGAACCTTGATCGTCCCCATGGGATCTGGGCATCCGTCGCCAGAATTGTCCTTTCCCTCAAGAAACCACGGTGGCATCATTGTAAATGTCCAGAGGCTGACGACGAGCACCGGCATCATGTGTTGGCCACTCACTTTGTACGAAGGTGGTCTGGATCCATCTCTTCACACAACTTAATAGGTATTGTCTGTAAAGCGATAAGAAAAGCATCCATGATTTCCCAAGTTTCTTGGGGTTAGATCAAGTCAAAAAAAGGTTATCAAGTGTTTCATGACTTTCATCATGATGATCATCATATACCCTTGTAGAATTTTATGGCTTATCACCAATAGTTTGCGTCTAGTGTTTGAAAAAATACTTCGTTTCTTGGGGTTCGATCAAGACAAACAAAAAGTTGGTTTCTTTACCAAAATTTACAGCTGCTTTGAAGATACTCTGGATGAGTTTTTTTTTTTATGTGTCCCTTGAGCCATTCACTAAGGAGCAATGGGAATTCATCTTCAGTGAGCTAAAGAAAGCCGAGTTCGCAGATACTCCAGAAACTGCAAAGAGGATATCGTCAGCCAGAGGTGAGTGGGCTTTGACGGACGATTCTGTGTACGATCGTAGCAACATACTCAGGTATGTAACTGATGTTCCATATGATGAGAGCATTCTCTTGTGGTACATTGCCACTGATCTATTCTACCAATGTACTGAACGAAGAAGAACTCGAAGTTGGAAGACGGTGGCTAGAATTTGAAATACCAACACTTCAGCAAAGTACTGTCCGATTACATGATGTATCTTCTTATATTTCAGCCGACCATGATGTCCACTGTGGCAGGTATCGCGAAGATAATATTCCGAGACACAAGTGAGGAGGCTAGAATTTTCTTTAAGAGACGGAATGTAGGTCGGAACGGCGATCAGAAGGCTTGTGACGAAATATTGAAGGTGAATGCGGATGTTGAACCTGAGCAAGTGAAGGGAGACCAAAGTGCTGAAGAGGATGGGAGAAGAAGAAGACGAGAATAAATGGATGATAATGAGGATGGTGTGGGTGGAATTAGCGTCGTATGCGGCGAGTCATGCAGAGCAAGTACACATGCTGCAGAGGTAAGCAAAGGTGGACAGCTTTATTTTCTTCAACAACTCCATAAATTTTAGCAAAAAAGCTCATGTAACTTTAATTGTTCTCTTTATTTTTGTTTTATTAATAAGAGTAATTTTTTATCAATTATGATATGGTCTGGTTACCTAGGATGATATGTTAGAATCTTTAAATAAGATTTAAAGTTTAAATATTAATGTTATAAACATGATAAATTAAATTGGAGGATTATCTCGTAATAGACATCTACGATTTTTGATCTAAATTAATTGACATTATATTAGATATCGATGATTATACTAAAAAAATTCTTTTCTTAAGTTAAATCAATAACAATGAAAATAATCTATTAACTTAAGTTTTTATTTTCATTTATACGATGCTTATTAACTAAAATCGATTAATCGAGGAATCGGAGAAAAATTGTAAGATAAAATTGTTCGTATATTTTTGGGTAAACTATGAGAATAGTCCCCTATATTTTCGGTCTAATCGAATTTGGTCATAAATTTTAAAATTAAAGAGAAATAGTCTTTAATGTTATCGATCTGTTCGATTTTTAGTCTCTAATGTTATCAATCCGTTAGATTTTAGTCTCTCAGCTGTTAACTCACATTCAATTTTAGTCCATCAATCTTGTTAGAGACTTTAAAAAAAAGGGATTAATAGAAATTAATAACAGATGGACTTAAACTGGACGGACCAATAATATAAGAGATTATTTATCCTTAATTTTTAAATTATTGATCAAAATCGGTCAAACACTAAACAAAAGGTGTTGTTCATATAGTTTACCCATATATTTTTCAACAGATGACCCAATGGGCCAACTCCAAAATTTAAAATAAAAACGAAAAAAAAAACTCCGGAAACTGAGAAGCACTGTCGAGACATTCGGTCACTCAATCAGAGCAAGAGCCAAGAAACAAAGAGAAGAGTAGGAGAAAATAGAATTATGAGCGAAGAAAATTTGGAAGAATGGGATGCAAGTTTCTTGGAGGAACTTATTCAAGTTGAAGAGTTTGCTCTTTCTTGTTCTTATGTTAACCAAAACAATCGCACTTCTTTTTCTTCTTCCTATTTACCGCCGGAGTCGCCGCCACCATCACAGCCTCCATCGTCATCGTCGCATCATCAACCCCTTCCGCCTCCATCTCGAACTGATTACATCACTTATTCGCCTCCGAGAGAGCTCTCCCAGAGACCCACAGATTTGGGTGACGCCTCGAATTCGAGTGGTTTTATTGCTAAATGTGCCACTCCTTCGACTCCGGTGCGGCGCGGTGGAAGTTCTGCTAACGCTAATGATCTCGAAATCGAGCTCCTAAAGGTTAGTGTTTTAGGCTTGCTTACTTTGAGTTCTTGTTACCGTGCTTACTTTTATGGGGGGTAAAATGAAGTCAGTTATTAAAGATTATTATTATTTTTTTGTGAAATTGATGCTTTTACTGATTTTGACATGGGCATTTGGAAGATAAATAGGAGAGTATTGGAAATACTACCTATAAAAGAGAATTTTGATTGAAATATTGTTCATTGTTGCAGAAGGAGTTGGGTCGTGTTTCAAGGCAGCTTGCAGACCTGGTATGTGTATTTTATTCTGAATAACTGTGATATAAATTTGTATGCCAAATAAAATATATCTGAAAGTAATTCTTGCTAGAATGTTGAAATAAAGTATTGGTGGAAAATATTCTACTTGTTTGGGATTGGACCTTTTGGAGATCATTTAAGTGAACAATTTTTGCATGCTACAAGTGTTTTCTTTTTCTTTTTTTCTATCCATTTAGGATCATGAGTGTTCAGAACTTAAGAAGGAAAGAAACAAGGAGGATCAGCTTACAGTTTCCAATTCAAACAATGAGGCGAAAGCTGCTAATTTGAAAGACATCAGCTTCAATGACATAGAACATGGACTCCCTATAGCCACTCATGATGAGGTTGTACAAAAAATTCCAAATAGAAAATCTTTCAACGATCAGATTGGTCTACATACAGGTGAGAAGGTAATCAGAGACATATTTGAATTTTCTTAATCAGCCTTTCTAATTTTATTCTTAACATATTCTTTTCATGCCTCTGTTCCTTGTCTTTGATAGTCAAGTCAAGCTGTCAGGCAGTTGGAGTTCAGACAGATTTAAATGCTTCTCTTGTTCTTTCCGAGAAGTTGCAGGACATCTGGGGTTTGCCAAGTGAGCAAAAGTTTGGAAGAAATCTGATATCCAAGTTATTTGCAGTTTGTTCTGAAGATATTGATGTCCTGTGTGGGTTCATTAATATGAGCTCACCTTCCAAAACAGTGAAACTACATTCAGTTAAGAGCACTGTTGATATGGTTATGAAGAGCTCCATTCATCCTTTTCTTAGTGCAGAAGCTGCAAAAGTATCTCATTTCTACTCTGCTTTGACAAAGGTATTGCCTAATCCTATAGTTTCTCATAGTTGTTTAAACATGATATGGTTATTACTTATACCATCTTTTGGGGAAAAAGTATGAGACATCAGCGATTAAAAATAGGATTTCTTATGAGAGATCTCATCATAAGTTAATCCCTAACTATTCTAGCCTCTTTCTCCTAATCTCTATATCCAAAAATAAAGTTTCACTGTGATAAAGATGCACCCTAGTTCATTAGGCTTTCACATTGCGAGGTCTGGGGACTGGGGAGGGTCAAATATAACAGCCAGTCTTACTCTTGATTAGAAGATGGACTATTTCTACTACTTCAAAAGATGTGGGCTCCAGTTCCAAATGACAACAATCTTACTTTTGTGCCAAGGGTATCCTGGAATTCCAATCTTAAGATAGAATGAATTATTTAACTTCATTAGATCTATAGAAATTATACATAGGATCATGACCTTTTTTGCAATATTGATCTCTATTTGGAGCTAATGGTGTTTTTAAGAGTTAATGGTTTCTGTACTGATTGATTTATTTCCATGTTGCAGATCAGTAGTGGAATGTTGCAGCTGCAGGCTCTATTTGAATCTTTGTTTGATCTCTGTACTGTTGAAAATGTGAGTTGCAAATTTCTTATATGAACTTGGTACGAGTATCGCTAAGGAATCTGTAATTTTAGTTGTTGAAGCAATGTGCTGTTAACTTTTTTCACGTAAGATATAATGGATTTTCATTGCTAAATATATACTAAATTAACATGCAATATTCATGTTGAAAAGTTGGAAGATAAAAAGATATTATAGGAATTTCAATGCGCGTTTATTAGATGGCAGTTATGATCATTTTCCTGGGCCTTAAGACCTTGTAATAGATCAGTGCCTCGATATCAATCTAGAACTAATTGTGGAGCTTATGAAGAGTAAATGCTGTTTCCCATTTCTAGTATCATATATTTTTTCAGACGAGTATTCTTTATGTACTTAGCTGCTTAGGTAACATGAGAGCCTAATATCACCCTTGGCTTTACTAGTTATTTGCTTATTTCCAATATAGTAGGCGGGATTGGTTGGACTGTATCACAACTTTTTTTAAACCTCTGAAAGAAATTATCTAACATTACTAACATCACATGACAATAGAAAACTACTTGAACAGTGCTATGTCTACCCTGAACCCCCTCATTCACCAGCCCTGAGAAGATGAACAAAAAAGGTTGGTTGATTATGCCTTTTACAATTATCTAGGATGTGTGGATGTGTGTGTGTGTGTGTGTGTGTGTTTATGTTGTTCAAAAGATGAACTTTTACTTACTTTATTGGCAACTCCTGAGGATCATCCTTGTTGATGCAGGTAGTTATTGTCTATAGATCACTGCATATACTACGTGTCTTGCTGAAGCATCTTGTGACTTTTGAAAGGGAATCCAGAGGAAGGTATGGCTAGTACTTGTATGTTGTTTGTTCTTGTTTTCTTTTTAACGTGAGGTTTTTATGTGCTCTTGTTAAATCATGATTTGTTTTTGGCCAGTATAATTAATCTTTTTCTATATACAGGAAATCGGGTTAGGTTAATGTAGTTATTCCGATATTATTATCTTTATATATATAATGGAAAAAGGAAATTTCAGTGCTCAAAATTGTTTTTCCTATGCCTTCCCTCAAATAGTCTCTGCTGGTATTGTCTGTGAAGCAGTGATTTTGTACTTTTCTCTTCCATTTTTCTATTGGCTGCTTTTGTTTTGCTGTAAACGCTCTATGATTTAGTAAAGGAGACCCAAATGTTGATCTGCATTGTGTGCTTATCAATTTTGATTTGATCTTTCCAGTGCACTCTACTCAGGGAAAACTTCTTGATTGAGCTTCTTCACTCTGGGAGCAGCATTGATGATATATTTGGATATGAAACTAGAGATCGGGTTTGCATTGGCATGGATGGGGCCTTTTCAAGTGGCATGCCAACTGGAGTAAGACCTCCTGAAGCAAAATATCTGTGCAAGAAAGGACGGGACAATACTAGCTCTGCATCATTGTTTTCCCATATAAACTGGATTTATCTCTTTGAATTTATGCATCTCATTGTGACGAAGAGTAGTGAAGAATGTGTAAGATTGGAAGCAATCTCCATTATGAATGTGATTCTGATGAGCAGTGACGCTTACACAGAGAGAGAAAAGTTAGTTTGTATGCTGCTCCTTTTCCAAATTTCTAGGATGATATGCAACTTTTATGTTCTAAAAGCTTTTTTACTTGGGTTAGGTTTGGCCTCAGTCAAGTCTTTGAAAGTATTTCACTACTACTGAAAACGGGAGCTGGGCTGCTGGTACAAAAGGAGGCTGTGCATGCTCTCTACCTGCTTCTAAATTGTAAGTGAATGCTTGGTCCTTTTACCACTTGTTTCATCTTCCTGCCAATGCTAGGGGAAATGTGCTTGAAATATATCTTCTACTCGGTAGTTAGCTGATCTATCATCCTTGTTTTATTCTGCTTTACAATAACATGTTGCTTTAGGGATGGAAAAACTTTAAATATTAAAATATATAGCTACTAATAAGTAATATCAAGAGACTATATGGACCTTTCAATAAGAATGTTCTAACAACAATTTTTTTGGTCAAAGAGGGGTACACCTCAGCTTGAACCTAAGATCACCATCTCAATGGCCAGGATAGAATGATGTCTTTTGAACCCTTCCCGCCACGAATGGAGTTATTTTCAATAAGAATGAGTCAAAAGATTCACTAATAAGTAATATCACTGTCTGTTGCCGATGGCTTATGGTTCTTTGTTGGATGAAGGTCCTAAATTGGTGGTTACATTCTGCTCTGGTTGTACAACGGAGGCAAGTGTTGGGGCTGCCAATGACAAGGAAAACACATATGCTATCCAAAGATTCACTATGATTCTTGAGGGGTTGGCTGACTGTATAGCTTGTTCGGGGAACAGTTTACAAGTAGGTTACATTGAAGAAAACTTCATTCCTGAATTATTTTATTAGATAATGCATTGTTTGTAATGCAAAAAGTCGTGAATTGCAGTTTAGTATAATATCCAAGATTTTCCTAGAAGACTATTGCTTGTTTTTCAGCTTATACTAGTGGAATATGATTTCTGAAGCATATAACTTTTCAGGCCTTGGAGCTACGCAAAAATGCCATCACCTTACTTGCTTTTGTGGCCTCATCTGGAAAATCTGGTTTCGAAATACTAGTGAATAACAAGCTGTCTGGAGAAGCAAATTTTCTAACACTAATTATGCAACTATTGGCATCTGAGGTAGACTTGGAGGCCACAGTAAATACCGAGTCTGATGAAACCTTTAAAGCAAGGTAAGCGATGACTCTGGATGTGTGTATACCTGTTTATTTCGTTCTTCTCTGATCCTTGGTCTAGCGTGAATTTTCCGTATTTAATGCCCTCTCTACATATAGCTCTTTGCCTTCAATGTGTGCAATCCTTTCAGTTGTACCAAAAACAACGCTGACAATCTTTGATGTTCTACTTTGATGCTTTATTAAACAATGTCTGCTCACGTTATAGAACCCTTCTCCACAGGGCATTATTGATACGGGAAGTGCTGATATTACTCAATAGACTCGTGTCAAACCCCGTTCAGTCTGCCACTGTTTTGCGATTGTTAACCAACAGCAGGGATATGGTCAGTTTAACCATTGACGTTGCAAACAGGCTGTCCAGAAAAGAACCAAAATTAAGGCTGTCCGGCAGCATAACTAAGCAGATGAGAGAATCTGAAATTGTCGATTTGGGACGAATGTTCAAGAGAAGGGTTTCTACTTATCTTGGAGAGTGACTTGCTCTGTCATTAAATTTTCTAAGGCATCGCTCCTTCCCGATTAGGGCTTTTTCTCGGAGAAAGAAACCGAGGTTTTAGTTCAGGGTGGCAAGTGAGGAGTCAGATCTAAATTGATCTTATCCAGAAAATTGTGGCTATGTATTTTGATGTGGTTATAGCCAAATCAATTTTGTAACACATTTGGCTGATCCTAACTCTGCACAAGCTGCGTATATTTACACCATTGTGGTTGTCGTCCTTCTTTCATGTTGAAAATGGTATCATTGCATCATACATGCATCAACCAGAACATGAAATAAATAATGAACAAATACAGTTTAATTGGTAAGAACAATATGTCAAACAATTGTCAAAGGCAGAAAAATGCATATATTTTTATAACCAACAAGTTCAATTAACAATCAGTATCACTTAAAAACGAGTTTGAAGCATATTAGTATTAATGGAACTGCCCATCTTCATCTGTCTCACCTGACCTCTCTCGGTTAGATTTTTTCGGTTTCGTAGCTCTGTCCTACTTTCCAGCAATTTAATGAGTTGGATGCTCAGCTTTTCAAGACGAGAACTTGCTGCTCCTTCCATTTCTTCCCCTCAAATTTATTTATTTAACTTGTTCATACACTAATCAATGCGTAATGCTTCAATAGGTGTAATTGAAATTGACCAGAATGGAGTTGTGGAGAATGACTCAATGAGTTAAACAAAATTGGTAACGTAGTATTTTTTTTCAATGATAACATGACATTATTACATGGTGACATATCAACATCATCATTAATTTTTTAACGATGAATGACCAAAATAGAATCAAAACGTAACATTATGTATAATTTCAAAAACAAAATAATTAGATGACCAAAACAGAACCATAGGAATAATTGGGTGACTACATGCTCAGTTTACCCGTTATTTTATTGATGTCCACGGATCTCACACTTTGTGAAACGTGTTAGCTTCAAATCTCTTCCGAAGGCAACAGCTCTTGTCATTTTTCTTAACATCGCTACTTAAAGTCTTGAATTAGTTTATACATTTTTACACAGCCACAAACTAAAACAAAGATGGATCTCTACATCTTCTTATGGTTTTGCATCTCCTTGTTCCTCTTTCTCCGTCGCTCCTCCGCCTCCCACCGCCTCCCTCCGGGCCCTTTCAATTTCCCTATATTAGGCTCCCTCCACCGCCTAGGCTCTCACCCTAACCAATCCCTCTTCGAGCTAGCCAAAACCTACGGCCCCCTTATGACTCTCCGCCTAGGTTACATCACCACCGTCATCGCCTCCTCCGCTGAAATCGCCAAACAAATCCTCCAAACACACGAGGAGACCTTCTCCGATCGCACTGTTCCCGACGTCGTCGCCTCCCAACCTAACCCCGAGTCGACCCTTGCATGGGCAGTCGGCGACGGCAGGTGGCGCAACCGCCGAAGACTATGCAACACCCAGCTGTTCACCGTGCAAAGACTCAACTCACTCCAACACCTCCGCCACCAAAAAGTGAAGCAACTCATCGAACACGTGAACAAACAACGTATTTCCGGATCCCAAGTCAATATAGGTGAAGTCACGTTCGCTACGACGTTGAACTTGATATCCAGTACGATATTTTCCACGGATATCGTCGACCCAGAGTTCAGCACAGCGCAAGAGTTTAAAGATTTGGTGTGGCGGATAATGGAGGATTCATCGAAACCCAACTTGTCGGATTATTTTCCGATGTTGAAAAGGTTTGATTTGCAAGGAATAAGGAAGCATATAAGGCAGTCCTATAAGGGATTGCATGAGATATTTGATGAGATGATCGATAAAAGAATGGAGGTTAGAGCTTCCGATCCCATGGCCAGGACTGGTGATTTCTTGGATCTTCTTCTTGATCAGTGTGAAGACAACGAGTCCGACTTCACCCGCCAAAATACCAAGCCTTTGATCTTGGTAAGAAATTTTCACTTGGATTTTAATTAAAAATGATAAATATTTTAAGAATATTCACTATATTTTCATTAATGCTTTGACACATAGCCTAGTCAAATCTTAAATATAAAAAGTAGATTTGACAGGTATATAATGCAACTTTATTAGATTGCACGCCAACCTATTGATTAGGTGGTGATTACTGCTGAATTATTAGCTTTTTACGTTTTACCTAAACGCTAGGCCTACCACAATGGTACAACTGCCGCATATCTTTCCTCCATATATATAAACAACATCATGGATTTATTATATTTAATGGACTTAACCCTATATAACTTTATACATCATCAACTAATTACATTTTTATTAATATTAAATTTTATCTAATAATTAACTATTTTGGATTTAATATTACAGAATCTATAAATTTATTTGAAGTCTATTGATACGTACCCTTAGATTTAATTGTTTTGAGTATGGGGTATGTTTATTTTTCCGTTTATGTTTTAAATATATGAATATATGATTATCCTTTCTAATAATATTTTAAGATCTTACAGAATGAATTAAAAATGATTTTAATTTTTTAGTATGATAATGGTAACTTTAGAAAGAAACAAAGATTTTTTCAAAGATGAATTAAAACAAATAATTCAAATTATATTTATTTCTTAGCATAAATTATATATGTCTATTAGTCAATTATATGTTTGGTTTCATTTAAAATTAGTTTTAGTCTCCTTTATTTCCCTTTTTTAAATGGATTTAAGGACTTTTGGATATATATTATATTAAATTTTAACTATTTATTTATTTCTCACTATTTATATAGCAAACAAAATTTAAAATTTTGTTTCAAATGAACATCATTTAATTTATTAATGATGTATAAAATCAGAAAATTTGCATCAATAAAAATACGGGGGGAAAACAATTTCCAAATAGTATTTTTAAAAGAAAACAATTCGTGAAATGAACAGTGGAACATGAATGCGTAAGATTGCATGGCGTCTTCTCCTCCTGAACTTGGAAGACACCAAAGACGCCTTGCATTCCTAACGTCTTTAGGAGTAAGGCATCTTGTAGTTCCGATATCTTTTTTGAAGATGTCGTGTAATCTAACTGTCTTTTTCGTGGATTATTCTTACCGTCCCAGTTAAAAAAATAAAACTTCACCTACACCATATAAAGAATATCAGGTCAAAATTGCTCCTAAAATCATATATCAACAAAATTTCAGATAATAACTCGTTATTATCGATTTCATTGCTTATAAATTCACAAATAATATTATCATGTCGTAAAATTAATATGGAACAGGACTTATTCATTGCCGGAAGCGATACATCCGCAATAACAACAGAATGGGCGATGGCGGAGCTCCTCCGAAAACCCGAAGTTCTACAGAAAGCGAAAAGGGAACTCATGGAAGTCATCGGAACCGAGAGAGCCGTGCGAGAATCAGACATCGATGAACTGCCGTATCTTCAAGCCGTCGTCAAAGAAACAATGCGCCTCCATCCCGCCGCTCCTCTTCTCCTACCATACAAAGCCAAAAACGACGTGGAAATATGTGGCTACGCATTACCGAAGAACGCTCAGCTTCTGGTGAATGCTTGGGCCATTGGCCGAGACCCCAACTACTGGACCGATCCTTTCTCGTTTTGTCCCGAAAGGTTCATTGATTCCGGCTTAGATTTCAGAGGTCGCTGTTTTGAGTATATACCGTTCGGTGCTGGTCGAAGAATATGCCCGGGCTTGCCTCTTGCGGTTCGTATGGTGCATTTGATGTTGGCGTCTATGATACAGTGTTTTGATTGGAAACTTCCCCAAGGAATCAATCCACGAGACTTGGACATGCAAGAACAGTTTGGGATGACTCTCAAGAAAGCGATACCACTGTGTGCTATTCCTATTTAGCTTGTCGTATATAGAGAAAGTTTTAGACTTTGGGTACTGCTTTGTAATTTGTTACATTTGATCGCTGCATCATTAAGTTTTATTACATGACACATTAATTAATGGGTAAAGAACACAAATGGTCCTCGATTGGGTACTGTTTTGTTGAATTTACCAACTATCAAAATTTACAAAATAATCCTTGAACTATAGGGCATTGCTTTGTTGAGTCCCTCAATTATTAAAAGTAAAATGATCACTTGATTATTCATATTTTCCAAACTCGTCATTTTTTGTTAAAAAATCGATGTTCGTCTGAATCAGACGTTAACATGTTGACTGAGATATGATAGCCGTTTGAGATTCTGGGATCATATTTTATCATACATCAGTCAGTAAGTTAAAATCCAACTAATACGTTCGTCAATTTTTTAACGAAAAAAGACAAGTTTAGAATACATGAATAGTCAGGTGACCATTTTATAATTTTTAATAGTCGGGGATTCAACAAAACAACACACTATAATCAAATGATCATTTTATAATTTTTATTAGTGCAGTGTGTACTTTATCCAAAAAAAAAATAATAATTAATTTTCAATTTAACTCTTCACCCAAATATTAATCTAACTCATGATTCTCTCACCCACTCTTTTAGACCAATTTGATAATTCATGAACTCTTTCAGCAACTCTTGTAGCTCACACTTTGGTCGCTCACTATCAAAATTGGTCTGTCTAATATTTTCCATAGGTGATGACATCAAAGCAAAGCTCTCTCTTCCCTTTTTCCTTCTAAGCTAACCCAACCCAGAAAGCAAGCACCCATCAATGCTTTCCAAACTATATTATACCATTTGGGAGCCTGTCCGTCAATCAACCAAGTATTTTCAAGCTCAAGGATATGCTGCGAAATGGGCTGGATACTAAAATTAGGCCCAAATATATTTTCCATAAAATAATTTATTTGTTTTCTTATGATAGAATGATAAATCGACACGTTTATGTTTATATTTTCCAAAAATGTTGTTATGAGAGTACCGTTAAAAAATTGATATTTTAATACATATTCTTATAGAAATTATAGGCCCAAATATATTTTCCTAAATAATTTATTTGTTTTCTTATGATAGAATGATAAATCGACACGTTTATGTTTATATTTTTCAAAAATGTTGTTATGAGAGTACCGTTAAAAAATTGATATTTTAATACATATTCTTATAGAAATTATATTTTAATAAAATTTTGAAGATTACATTTAATTAAAAACTAAAATTAAATTAACAAAATATATAAACATCAAGACCAAATTTATCATTTTCATCTTTCTTGTTGTAAATACCAAAAGGGCAATAACGATTTATTTTAAACATTTGTATTTTATTTAATTTTTCTTCCTCTAATGATTAATCTTTTAGTTGTTTTATTTTTGTTAATCTTCAAGTAATAACAATACGAAGTTCAAATTGTGATTTTGGTATAAAGGCCGACAAAGATGCTATTTTTGTATGGAATTATAAATACAAAGCTGCTGGGAAAACCCCACAAAACAGAAGAATTTGCAAAGTACAGGAGAGAGAGAATTATAAATACAGTGGCTTTCTCTCTCTCTCACCTCATAAAGGAACAGTCCAAAGAAGGAATTTGGCTAAGGCATCGCATGGTGCATAGTCTCCATGTAACCTCCACCAGTCTTTAACCAGCCACCCCTTAATTCATGCCACGTGGCATGAATTATCCTTAACTAAAAACAAACCACCACCAAGCTTCCCCCCATCAACAAAATTCTAATCTTTTCCCCATAGCTAAATACCTTCAATACTTTCACTTTTTTGCCATGGAAATGACTTCTTTGTCCCTTCTACCCGCACCTCATTATCACCTTCAAACTTTGTCCAAAACTAGGGGCAGACAAAGAAACTCTCAAACAAAAGACACCTCAGCTTAAGCACTCAGCAGCAGTCACTGCCATTTGTTTTTCTTCAAACTTTTCTATCTCTTCTTATTTGTGTTCCAAATTTTTTTTCTTGGAAATCAAAAGGAGACAAGAGGACAAACTCGTTTTCATGTGGGTCTTTTTATTACCATGTAACAACCATTTTAGCTTTTATCTCTTCTTAACAGAGTCTCTAAATTCCCTTACCCAGCCGAGAGAGAGCTAAAAACAATGGCGGTTTCGACGGTATGCACCACACAGTCTCTGAATTCAACGTGTTCAATCTCCACACCGGAGAAAACCCATTTAGGTTTCCACCAAAACCAAGTAGTTTTCTATAGGAGAACCAGCAAGAGAGGCGGCGGCTCCTGTGTGATAACATGCTCAGTTGGTGATTCACAAACTGTGGTGATCGGTTTGGCTGCAGACTCGGGATGTGGGAAGAGTACCTTCATGAGGAGGCTAACGAGTGTGTTTGGTGGTGCGGCCGAGCCACCAAAGGGAGGCAACCCTGACTCGAACACACTCATTAGCGATATGACCACTGTGATATGCTTAGATGATTATCATTCACTCGACAGAACCGGAAGGAAAGAGAAGGGGGTGACGGCACTTGACCCAAGAGCCAACGACTTTGACCTCATGTATGAGCAAGTTAAGGCTCTCAAGAGCGGTATTGCTGTCGACAAGCCTATCTACAACCATGTTACTGGTCTCTTGGATCCTCCTGAGCTCATTAAGCCTCCTAAGATCCTTGTCATCGAAGGCTTACACCCCATGTAAGTAAAAGAAACTAGAAACTAAACCGGACATCGAACCAGGAATGCCGAAGGTGTTGCTGGCCGACAGCATGTTACAGTATTACGAGTCTTATTTTTTTATTGTTCGCAGTATATTTTAATACTTCTTTTATGTCTTTTACTAGTATTTATTCGAAATGCCACCTTTGTCCTAATATATAGGTTCGATGAGCGTGTGAGGGATCTCTTGGACTTCAGCATCTATTTGGACATCAGCAATGAGGTCAAATTTGCATGGAAAATTCAGGTGATGAACTTTGTACGCTAATGTAAAAACGTTCTGCAAATTCAATGCCTGGATTTTGTTCATTAGCGTGATCCGACTTTGTTGAAAACGTTGCAGAGGGACATGGCTGAGAGAGGGCACAGCCTTGAAAGCATTAAAGCCAGTATTGAATCCAGGAAACCCGATTTCGATGCCTATATCGGTAAAAAAAACACTACATAAATACACAATACCATATCGATGTCCCAACCTCTTGAGCTGCTGTCACCTTTAACAATGTCTTGTTTTGTTACATTGTTGTCTGTTTGGTGGATGCAGATCCTCAGAAGCAATATGCTGATGCGGTGATTGAAGTGCTGCCGACTGAGCTCATTCCAGACGACAACGAAGGGAAGGTTTTGAGAGTTAGGTTGATAATGAAAGAAGGGGTAAGGCATTTCAGTCCAGTTTACCTGTTCGATGAAGGTTCAACCATCTCATGGATACCCTGTGGAAGGAAGCTAACTTGCTCTTACCCTGGCATCAAATTCCACTATGGCCCCGACACTTACTTCGGCAAGGAGGTACCGTACATTCCTTCTCTATCGAGCCAACTGTGCTTAATGGAATTTGATGGTTTCATTGCTTGTCTTTAGGTCTCTATTCTGGAGATGGACGGGCAATTTGACAGATTAGATGAACTTATTTATGTTGAAAGCCATTTGAGCAAACTCTCTACCAAGTTCTATGGAGAAGTTACCCAGCAAATGTTGAAGCATGCTGATTTCCCTGGAAGTAACAACGGAACTGGCCTCTTCCAAACCATTGTCGGGTTGAAGATAAGAGATCTCTACGAGCAAATTACGTCCAGCAAAACTGCAGCTCCACTAGAAGCAACCAAAGCCTGAGATTGCATACATTGGACTAGACCTTGGGTTCAAAACAAATTATCCTCTTTCAATCTTCTTTCGAGTGTTGGACTGCTGTTGCTATCATAAGAATTGAGTATGATCTTATGTATTTATTTTCTGTTGTAAATCAGTTTAGATCTGTGATATAGAGAAATAAAATGAGGGGTGAATTTCAACTTAAAAAGTTCATATAAGACGAGCACTTTTGACATCATTTCTCCTCTTCTATTCCCCCTACTGCAGTTTGTAGCCATTTATGATGTTATGAATTTTGGATTTTTACTCGAAATGAGAGGATTTGGATATGGAATTGTGGTCAAAACGTGACGTTTTACTTGAATTTGGTGCAATCTTTCTGCAACCTGATGTCAGATATACAGACTGAAAGTTTGCTCCCTCCATCTTCTGGTAATCCTACACTTGGAAAAGGAACGATAAGGCTTTAAATCCTTCAAACTTGGTTTGTTGAAACGATTTTTGGTGCATCACCTCATGCTAAAAGAATGTATAAATAAACCCATGATAGAAATAAAATCCATGGCAGATAAATCAACTAAGACGTCTCTTCCTATATCTATGACCGACCTTCACCACTTTTGATATCTAGACTCTTGTATGTCATACGTATATGGACCATACGTTATAACTCAGATGAACAGAGCACTTAATACTTGGCTACATATATTTTCAGAATTCATGTTTTCCGTGAAAGTAATAAATTACATTCAAACTAGAAAACACACACATATATATATTTGAAACTACTAAATATCATGCCCAGCTACCAGCCATCTACATCTCTATTTGATCGTAACGAACTTGTTTGTGCCATGCCTGGCCCAGTGGTCTTTCAAGTCAACAGGACGCGAAAGATCATAACCTTCAGCTGCAAGTCTCAGTAGAAGTTTGAAATATGCCCCATTGCTCATTTTTCTCCCGGCCACACGAGCACCGGGCCTGGTGGGACTCATGGGAAGAGGACATTCTGATATATTAATGGTACAACATGAAGATTGCCAACCGCTAGCACCCCACTTGTAGCACACTCTTGCAACACCTGTACAAGAGCAAATGGGGGAAGGCACCCTGGAGAAATCAAACTTTTTTTCATCAAGATCGAAATTGAGATTATTCTTCTCACGTTTGGCTTCCGGAATGTTCGGTCCCTTCGCCTTCTTTGGAACAGAGGGTTTCTTCATGGACTGCTTTGGCCCCAGAACCTTGGGTGATATTTGACTAGAGCCCGTCAAAGAAGATTTCTGTTTCCTCACCTGTGCGGCTTTAGTCTCCCTATCATTTTTGTTCCCTGATTCAGCTGTGGGACAAATGGTTTGAATCGGAGAAACAACAAGACCAGGTTCATGGCGTCGATGCAGAGAACTTAAGCCAGGTTTGGATGTGAGGTTGTAATGATAAAGCCAAGAAAAAGGTGAATCGGTTGATCCAATATCGGTTTCAGACATCGTGTTTTTATCCGAATAAGATCTCATCTTCATAGCAATTACTTGGCTCTGCAGCAAAACATTAACAAAAACAAAATCCCATTAGAAGACACATGAGAATTTTCTATGATTATCTCAAGACAATAAACGGTTTTCAAGCGTTCAAGATGCAAAAAATCAAAGTCTCTCTTAAGTCTTATATACCCTTCAATGTTCTACTCTCTGCTTTCCCTTTGATAGATGATGCTGGATGCATAGGTGCACACCGAAAATTTAGCAAATATCAATAAGTGCATGAAAAGGAAGAACAATAAGACGAAAGCAAACTTCATCCAAATAAGCTATCTCAACTTCAGAAAATGGCTAACTGGAACAGAATTTAGCAAATCTATCGAGGTATAAAGTTAGAGACAAGTTTTAGATAATAAAGAATATCCCATACAAACCCCATTTGGAAACAAACAAATAAAAGGCAGAGGTCAGGGCACAGTGAGATGAAACAACCCTAAACCCTGATATATTAACAAAAACCCATTCGAGGAAAAGCATCAAAGCAAGTCATAAAAGAAAGAAACAACTGATAACATACTGCAATAAACCCATATCTCAGCCTGAAAAATCAAAAGCAAAAAGACATCAGATTTAGAAAGAATGAAAAAAATTAACTTTCATAACAACTAGCAACCGTAAAGTGAGAAACCCATCAAGGAAAAGATGGTACTAAGCACTAAAAGCTGGGGTATACAGGAATGTAAGGAACTTACAAGCTTGGTAAGATCTAGCGGGAGATAGTTCTTGGCAAGTTTCTGAGCTGAAAATCAAAGAGCAAAGAACATCAAGTTTCCTCCAGGTATTGTCAAGTCTGTGAAGGTTTTTCAGTATGTCTGAGCAGTAACAGTGAGCACCAAAAGCATCGTAATTCGTAACTGAAGTTGCTTCTTTTCCATCTTTGCCTAAATATTTGATAAAATATTCGTTTCTTATCTATTGCTCGAGTTTACCATAGTAAAATGAACAAATAAAACTTTACCTTGGTAAGAGTTTCGTCTCCCTCGAAAGACCCTTTTTTTTATCAACCCTCACTAGGCCTGTAAATGAACTGAACGTTCAGCGAACCGTTCATGAACCGTGCGGCGGGAAGTTCGTTTATGTGCGTTTATTTATTAAATGAACGAACATGAACAAGATTTTTTGTTCGTTTAATTAAATGAACGAACATGAACATAGGTCTCATTCGTTCATTTACGTTCGTGAACGTTCGGTTATGTTCGTTCGGTTATGTTCGTTTATGTTCGTTCGATTATGTTCGTTTATGTTCATTCATTTATGTTTAACCCAATCTTCTTAAATCAATTTTGGTGACCAATTTGTAAGTATCTTAAAAATATTAATTAATATGATATTCTGATGACCAACTCCATAATTAATCCAATTTTATTTGGAGATTAAATCCAATATATTAACCTGTGAGGCACCTCACACCTATATTCATTTCTCCCTTTTTTTCCCAAACCCTAGTTCACTAGAGTGGAGACGATCGCTGAAAGCTTCAAAACAAGTTATATTAGTGCAATATGAAGTTTACATGTTTGTTTTCATCTCTTTCTATTTTATTTGGCTTAATAGTTTGATATGTAAAGTTATGCAGGTATCTTCACATAAAACTCAAGAAAATATCATACTTCTTTCTAGAAATAGATGGGAATATAAAGGTAACAATCGGAAGTATACGAGCATCAGTAAAGAGAAAAATATATAGAATTTGTCAGAAATAAACAAAGGTTTCTATGCAATTTCTGAAAAGAATAGGAGAAATGATTGTTCATATGTAATCATGGACCACTAAGATAAATGTTATAGCGTTAAATTAAAGTTGTGTGAATCATTTAATATCTTTAAAAGATCGATCAAAATATTTGATATCTTCAAACATTTCATCACTGCTAATCAACTCTTACGCTATTTATCACTGTAGATTTGGTTGATTTGCATTGTCGACTATTTTTCATGAAAGAACAATGGAAGGTAGGGTCTCCAACGTTTATGTTCGTTTATGTTCGTGTTCATTTATGTTCGTGTTCGTTTATGTTCGTGTTCGTTTATGTTCGTTTATTTATTAAATGAACGAACATGAACAAATTATATTCCTTAATAAACGAACATGAACAAAAATTTTTTTGTTCGTTTATGTTCGTGTTCGTTTATGTTCGTCTATTTATTAAATGAACGAACATGAACATACCTCCGTTCGTGTGCGTTCGGTTCGTTTACAGGCCTAATCCTCACATTAGCAGATTTGCATAAGGACTAGGCTAGCATGTTCCAGCTAGCATAGTGATCTGTGCCATGTGGCATTATCATGTTAGTTCACTTTCACGTTTATAATTTCAAAATAAAAATATATTAGTATTTTCTAGTTCTCAAATATTGACGACCTATATAGTACCAAACTCAACTCTTGTTTCAAGAGATATATAAATTACATAGGAGCAATATTTGTAACATCAGTTTTTTGAGTCGTAATCATGAAAGAGAGATTTCCAGCTGTACAACAAAATCAATCTCGAGGGACAATTGATAGTGTAAGCCCACAACTACGAGCAAGATTTGCCTTACTGCTGGGACTGAGCAAAGCAATGAGCCAGATATACCAGTGAGACAATAAGCAATGACACAAAAAGGAAGGGCTTCAGGCTCCTTGGCTGATAATGCAGCTGTCCCGAATCCATGGGCACTGAAACAAAACAAAATCGACTTTCCAGAATAGATGTATATCAAGAACATATACTATACAACTATGAAAGACAACCAATGTGTAATCGGGCAGAGTAATGACGGCGAGCTTTCACTAGTTTTATTGCCTGTCGAGTCTTGAGGACATACCTCGATGCAGTTGCTATTCCGCGGGCAATAGGGTCACGAAACCGTAACTTGTTGAGTGTTGCTCGCACAAATTTGCACCCGTCAGACCGGTCACTACGACCGCAGCTGCAGTGAGAGATGAATTGGCAATGACACCTACAAACAATATTGCCAAGTTATCATTTTCAGTTAAATGAATCCAACAACTTATACAGATAACAAATGAAACATGATTTAACTGCCTTTTCTGGGCTTTGAGCAAGAAATTTTCATCTTACCACCCTCTGCAGGCTATAATAAATTAACCTTATCATCAAAAAGGGAAACAATGCTGAGAGCTAATGCCACAGTTATACATCTTGGTAGAATTGATATAGTCAGACTTGGTTCTAAGCCAACAAGACGACCAACAAGAGAAGATGAATACAAAGAAAACAAACTCGAGACAATGATCGATAAGAAAATCTCAGTTGCATGGCTCTTAACAAGCTGTAAAAGTCAAGAGCGACAGATATAAGCTCAAACAGTAGCATTTCATTAATTAGGGAAAGACTTGAGGAGAAATTGGACGCTAGGATCTGCCATGAAGCTGTAAAAGTCAAGATGAACTTATTCTTGGCATGTTGATCGTTTACAGTGTGAAAGGCAGACTACGGAATTGTGTCATTTTGCTGACTGTGAAAGGCAGGTGGTTACCTTTCTCTGTTTGAACATTGAAAAAGAAAAAGAAAGAATAACAGAGCCCAAAAATCCCATGAGAATATCACCAACTCCAGGATTAGATGGCCTTAGTAAGGTAATCACCTGCAGGAATTAAACAGTGAAATGCATCCGAAGGCAAATACTGACATATCTGCATAGAGTGCACAACAAATAATTGGATGAAAAACCTTTTGCACATCAGATGGCAGCCTGAAAATCAAAAGAATAAATTTAGTTGCACTTCGTTCAAGAAAAACTTTGTTCAAATGGTTTTGATGTAGAAAGGGAAATGAAATTTTACCCTGAACCGACCATGTAACCTAGAACAGTGGATGCAAGTAGGAAAGGGAGGCATGTTCGAGCAGTTGTACCCAATGCTGTAGGATAAAATATTGAACAAACAAATGACACAAGAAAGATACCACCCCAAGTCCAAAATTCTATAGAAGAAAAGGGGAAGGTTTTGCCATAGGCTCAGCATCTGCCATTTCTGTCTTCACAATATTACTCACAGCAATAGCTGTAAAACCCGCCACACAAAGTGAAGCTAACCATCCTCCCGCTGCAGAAGAATTAAACAAACTTAAATTGCTTCAACAGTAAAGATTAAATTGTTCAGATAGAATTAAATAACCAATGCCAAACCATGGATAGAACAACATCAATGCATTATATAAAGCAAGCTGTGCATAAAAAGATCAAGAATAGAACAACATCAATGTATTCCAACAATGGAGATAATAATAGGCGCGCAGGGAGGGTGGGATGCTATATGAACAGGTGAACTGCTGAAGGGAAGGAACTATTGCCGACAGAAGTTGGTTAGTAAACAGTGAGTTCAGGATAAACTCAAAAAACATCACCCAGTTTTGTCCTGGTGAATTAATGACTCAGTTTAGGGTAAAAACTACAGTGTTCAACACAATGCTGACATTTAAATCAAACCAAGACACTTGTATGTGTAGATACATCCTATACTTGCAAGAGAAAAGGTTAACACTTCCATCACACATTCTACATAAAGGTTAATAGGAAGGTTCCAACTATCATACTATTCGTCCTTCCCCCCCCCCCAAGGTAACAGACATTAAGTTCAAGATTCCACTACAGAACACTTGACTAGTTATCCAAATTAAATAAATAAAAATACAATAAAAGGAAGGTTCCATTTCTCACAATTCTTCAATTTTACATTTGGAAGGAACAAAACATGGAACAAACAACTCAGAAGAGAAAAGCAAATGTTCACAGTATGTCTGATCCTATTCCTCAGAAGAGAATAACAATTGTTCATGCTCATTAACAACAGATAAATGCAGTGATGCATTTCGAACGAAGAACATGAAATCTAGTGATATTCATCCAAAAATTTATAGTGGTATACCTATAATGAAGCATATCTCTGACAGAAAGTGGCAGAACCACCAAAGTCGGAACATAGAACAGCGGAAGCCATCTCTGAATGAACAAGAGCGCTGGCTCAAAAAAGTTCATCAAACTTGTTGCAGCAGCAGGGACGGTAGTATCAAGAATCACAAAAACAGACAATGCACAAAACATTCTGAATAATGCACTGGGAAACTTTATATCAGCAATCAAAAAAGCTTTCTTTAATAGCTTATCCATTGCCAAACTATCCCAAGCAAGACAACCAAGTGCAGTACCCCAATCAGCTATATAATTAAAAAAGTGAAACAAAGTTTTCCTTCACTATATAAAAAGCAGATATACTTGCTTTTTGAGAGATGATTGAGGTGGAAATGTTGCTATTGTCTGAAGAAGAGGATTTGACTGAAATTGTTCTGTTAAAGAAAGTTTCTTGAGGATCCATTTGAAAGATGTTGCAGTCGGGTCCAAGAACTCTGATGGGCAGCGATGATATATGAGGAGCAGGAGAGGTGGAAGGATGACGTTCATGCTTATATAAATGTAGATTCCCACCGAAAGCAACGGGTGTTGGATTTCGAGGGATCCTGTGGAGGTTGCTTGCCTTTGCCATAAATGTGGGACAAGTAGGAAAAAATAATTGGAATGATGGTGATTAGGGATAGAAAATGATAAATTCATGGGTGTCGTCACCAATGGAGTTGCCATTGAAACCGGGTATCAAATTTTCTAAGAAATTCGACATTTTTAGAAGTTTGTATGGACGTCAACTAACGTTGTCATCAAACATTATCAGAATGTTGTTTCTTTTAGTATGGTGGTGATAGGCATCATAAGTCATACAGCGGCCTTTGATAAATTTACAGAAAATTATTAAGAAAGAAAAACAAGATGAAACTTGACAGTTATGTAACGTGCAGAACAAGAAGAAAAAACTTGTAATTTATTTTTCTAAATAGTCTAGTTGATTGTTTAAAATTTTTCTTAGCGTATATATATACCTTGGAGACTCAGTTGCAGCCAA